TTTTTTTTTTTACTTTTTGGCAATGGAAACAAATTTTATAACCAATTGTGGAAAAAAATATCACTTTAATGGACAATTTCCATGTAAAACAAAGCCAAACGAATAGAAAATTTAAAAAAATTTCGGGTGGAAAATTATACCAATCAAACACACTTGAAATCATTTTTTCTACAAAACATTTTCTAGGCAAATCTTTTCCCTATAAAACATTTTATTTCCACCTATTTTCCACCCTTGCAATCAAACGCACCCTTAGATATTTTGAAACTAGAGATATTAGGATTGCACGGTAACTTCTTTAGGTCTAATTGAGTAGTTATGGACGGTAAAAGAACTTATTTAGGTCTAATCAAGTTTGAAGACCATACAAGAAGATATATTTTTGACCGATTGTACTACATGTACTGCAAATTTGCAGATTTGACTATCAACAGATGACGTGGCGATATTTGGTTAAGTCAAAATCTAATCAATCAAATATATATATATATATATAATTCATTCCACTTTTTTTTTCGCAACCTTATTGATTTGTGAATGGTAACGTACAACAATCATTTTTCATTTCTAACTTTATTACACTATTGTAGCCCTTGTTTGAACCCCATTTTTTAAAGAAAATATATTCTGAAGAAATAATGATTTTTTAGAGAATGTGTGGTTGAAAAATAAGGAATTTTTTTATTTTACATATAAAATTATTTTATGGAAGAATGTACGGTTGAAAACGAATTTGGAAAAATGAGTTTTTGAAAAAAAAATGGAAGCCAAACATAGTTTCAATCAAATACTGGTACTTTATTTTTATTTAGGGTGTGTTTGACACCTATTTTTTGAAAATAAAATGTTTTAGAATAGTGATTGATGAGAGAATGTGTGCTTAAAAAATTGTGGAAAGTTTTAGATTTGTGTGTAATGTTATTTTATTGAAAGAATGTGTGGTTGAAATGAAGTAAGAAAAAAATGAGAATGAGCCCATGTTTGGTACACATTAAAATTTTCATTTTCATTCTTCTACTCATTTTCAACCACGCATTTTTCAATAAAATAATATTTTCCACCACATCAATAACTTTTCCTTATTTTTCAACCACAAATTATCCATCAATCTACTATTTCAGAATACATTCTTCCAATATAATGTGGCTCAAACACACCTTGAAAATGAGATAGAGAATGGGTGTCAAACATGGACTTAATCAAGTAATTGTACTTCAATTTGATTTAGGCACTATTTGACCCTATTAAAATTATAATTCATTTTTCTCTTTTTTTATCGACCACGTATTCTCTAATAAAATAATATTACGCATAATCCTAAATATTTTTTTTAATCACTCATTTAAAAAAAAGTATTCCAACTATAGAAATTTCAAATAATGAAGTGGGCTTAAAATGAGTAGTTCCATTCAATTTGTCCACTGGATGCAAAAGTTAATGAACTAGTAACCAACAATATTTTTTGTCATTTATTTTAGTGCATGTTTGAGCCTCATTTTTATGTATTTTGAAATAGTAAATTGATAAAAAACGTGTGATTAAAAAATAAAGAATTTTTTTTAATTTGCTTGTAATATTATTTTATTAAAAAATTTGTAGTTGAAAAGAAAAGAGAAAAAAATGTGTGTTAGAAATAATGAGAATCAAACAAGAGGTTGATGAAGTTTTACATATTTGACGTCAGTAGCTAACGAGTACATGTATTGATCATTATTTATTGAACTTTACTAATTGAATCCAATTGTTCAAAATAAGAAATTTTGAAGTATAAAATATCATATGCAAAAACGATGCCCTTCTTTCCCTTTGAATTACTCTGCGACCGTTCTAAAAATTATATAATTTGTTTGTAGTAATTAATATTAGTCTTTAAATCGAAAATTTCACTACGTGTTTGAGATATTAATTTTTATTTTCTTGATTTAAGTTTACGATCTCAATTAAAATAAAAGATAAATTCTCTACTTTTATTTTCTCAATGTAAATAAAGATTATGATCTAAATTAAGATTTATATCAGTTTAAAGCTACTATTCTTCTTTCCCCTTGAACATAGTTTTTCACGATTAGAGAAATTATATATTTTCTTGAACAATGTCAATATTCTTGACTTAAATTGAGTCCTGTATTTTATTTTCTTGATTTAGGTTGAATCTCATAGAAAATCAACCTTGTTCGAAAACATTATGAAGTTCAGTGACTGCTCAAAATTTTTTAAAGTTCAACGAGTAAAGCATGATGAAGACTAATGAAACATTGTGGAGTGAATGATGGAATGCAATGTATTAAAATTCAGTGATCACTCGAAAGTATTTTAAAGTTTAGAGACTTATGAAATATGACGAGTGAGTGGTAGAGTGCAACGTATTAAAACTCAGTGACCACTCGAAACTATTTTAAAGTTCAATATGTAAAGCGTGACGAGGTATAAGTCTGATGACTAATGAAACAATTAACTCTAGTTAATAATAAACAAAGTACATTTACCATAAATGAATTTAACCTTATTAGTGTACATTCCATTGGAAAAATAAAATCTTTAGGGCGTGTTTGGCAAAACTTAAAAAAGAATATTTATAAGTAAGTAAAAGTTAAAGCTGCTTAAGAAAATGGTTTTGTGCTTGTTTGGGAAAGTTGTTAAAAAGTTGAGGTCAAAGTCAACATTTAGTTTAAATAATGCATATACAGGGATTCACAAATTTTCAATACATATTTCATTAAGGCCCCGTTTGATTGGCGGAATTTTCCATAGAAATAAGAAAATATTTTTCATTTTCCACTTTTTTGACTGTTTGATAACGAAATTTTCAACGGAAAATGTTTTCCCTCCCCAACCCCCACGCGCCTATTTTCCGGGTTTTAGGTGAAAATTGGTGGGAAAAATTTTTCCAGGCGGTTGCTACAATTTATTTTTTTTGGAAACAAATGTTATAACCAAGTGTAAAAAAAAAAAATTCACTTTAGTGGACAATTTTCATGTAAAACAAAGTCGAACGAACATTAAATTTTGATAAAAAAATGAGTTTTTTAGAAAGATTTTTTTTTCCTTTTTTTTTACTTTTTGGCAATGGAAACAAATTTTATAACCAATTGTGAAAAAAATTATCACTTTAATGGACAATTTATATGTAAAACATTGCCAAACGAATGGAAAATTTTAAAATTTTCCAGGTGGAAAATTATACCAATCAAACACATTTAATTAACAATTCACTGTAAAACAATTTATAAACAATTACTTTCCCTGAAAATCATTTTCTTTCCACCTATTTTCCAGCCTTGAAATTAAACGGACCATAATTTTTATCATTTGCAATTTTTTTTTACCGAAGTTTTCTCAAGTGATTATCAATATAGTTAGAAATGAAAAATGATTGTTGTATATTACCATGATGAGGTGACAAAAAGAAAGTCGAATAATTTATTTATTTATTTATTCATATTTGATTGACGAGATTTTGACTTAACCAAATATCGCTACATCATCTGTTGGTAATTAAATTTGTAAATTGTTGTATATGTAGTACAATCAGTTAAAAATATATCTTCTTGTGTGGTCTTGAAACCTGGAACGTGTTTGATACATATTATTGAGGAAAATATGTATTTTAAGTAGTGATATGATGAGAAATATGTGGTTAAAAGGTAAGGAAAAATTATTGATGCGATGGAAGATATTATTTTATTGAAGAATATGTAGTTGCAAATGAGTTTTGAAAAAAAATATATTTTGAAAGAATGTGTGTCAAATAGGGACTTGAATAGACCTAAGTAAGTTCTTTGAGCTCCATTTTGGAGGAAAAAATGCATTTAAGAATTTTGATTTAGGGTCCGTTTGATTGCAAAGTTGGAAAATGGGTGGAAAGAAAATAAATTCGAGGGAATTGAATTGTCTAGAAATTATTTTACTGTGAATTGTAAATAACCGTGTTTAATTGGTATAATTTTTCACCTGGAAAATATTGAAAGTTTGACGTCCGTTTGACTTTGTTTTTAATGAAAATTATCCATTAAAATGATAATTTTTTCTACCATTGGGTTTAGAATTTGTTCCAATTATCAAAAAATTTAAAAAAATTACAAATTTTTTTCCATATCGAATATCATTTGTTTAGCTTTGTTTTGTATGGAAATTGTCAATGAAAGTGATAAATTTTTTTTTATTATTGTATCTAGAATTTTTTTTAATTGCAAAAAAAAAAAAAAATTGAAAATAAAATTTACCATACCGAATATCATTCGTTTTACTTTTTTTTATATGAAAATTATCAATAAAAGTGAAATTTTTTTTTTTTACCATTGTATCTAGAATTTTTTTTTAATTGCAAAAAAAAAAAAAAACCTGATCAAGGAAAAGTAATAAAATTTGAGTGTGTGAGAAAAAGTGGGAAAAACATTTGCCTAGAAAAAAATCTATCAAACAAAGGAAAATTGGGAAAATTCCATTTTCCATGGAATTGGCTCCCTATCAAACACATCCTTTGAGAGAATGTGTGGTTAAAAAAGAAAGAAATTTTTTTGACTAAGTGTAATATTATTTTATTGAAAAATGTGTGGTTGAAAATGAATTTTTAAAAAAATTGGGTTCAAAAAAATTGATTTTAAAATAATATTTTCTGGAGAATGGGTGGATAAAAGGTATGGAAAATTTCAATAATGTGTGGTTAATACATTTGTCGTTTCATATCATCCCAGTCTCGGAGCGGGAAACCACCAATAGCACTTCTCAAATTCAAAGCCCTCTTCTCCGTCTCCCAAATCACACCCACGGAGTCTACCATGGATGAAACCATAGCCCGAATAGTGACAGACCTGGAATCTCAAGCACCAATTTCACTGTCTTTCCTCAAAGATCTCCAAGTGCTGCTAGACTACACTCTCAATACAAACGATTCCATCGATTTTGAAAATCTCTGCACTGAAATTTCTTCAAGAAATCTGTCGCTTTCTTCACTAACAAATGCTATTTCCTCAGCAATAGATTCCGGGCCCACTAATTTATCCATTTTTGGTTCGAAAGTTTACTTATCTCTACTTTTATCCCCAAATTCTCCTGTTTTTACTCTGTTCACTCCAATGGCTTTTCTGTCTCTGTTGCGTGTTGTCCGTCGAGCGTTCAAGAACCTGTCTGGGGTTTCGAGTGAAGGGGCTGGGTCTAGGAGCCAGGGTGCGAAGAAGAAAGGGAGGAAAAATGTTGGACAGAGGAAGAACAGCGGGGAAACTAGGGATTTTTTGGAAAATGAGGTGGAGGAAGTGGGTTTTGAGGTCAAAGATTTGTTGTGTGTGCTTGAGAGGTTGGAAATGGTATTGGGTTTGGTTCATTTAGGCCGGTTTCCAGATTGTTTGAAGGGTTTGATTCTGACTGTATGTGAGATTCCAGTAATGGCCGTTGACTTTTCACAGAATCTCGTGAGTTTTGGGAGGTTATGCGAGCTCTGTTCACGGGTTTTGAGTGAAGTGTTGAAAGCTGAGCATGGAAATCAAGGGGATTCTGCAGCTGAGGTTTTGAAGGCTTTGACACCATTGATTTTTTTAACTAAGTCACAGGCTAGGAGTTTTGGTTTGGGCTTTGTTGTGAATAGGATGGTGGGAATGGGGAGAAATTCGGGTGAAATAAGAAAGGCGGTTTTGAATTTGCCTAAGCATATGGTGAGAAAGGCGCCAGAAAAAGCTGAACCTAGGGGGTTGGCAGTGGAGTCAATTATGGAGGTTGTTAAGGTTTTGGACTTTGAGGATCAAGTTGAGTTTGCTGATTATGTGGTCAAGATGAGCCAAGGCAACACACAGTTTAGACTTTTGGCTGTTGATTTAATTCCAGTTTTAATGGTGTCATTGAGAGATCCGTTGGGATTGGATTCTGATGATGGGTTCAAGGGTTCATGGGGGCTGAGGTGTGTAGAGGCGTTGATTCAGCGTTGCTCGGATATAACTGCTGGGATTAGAGCTAAAGCTTTGACAAATTTAGCTCACTTAGTGGGTTCCTTGTCAGGGATCGAGAAGAGTAGAGCAGTGTTGAAAGAAGTGATGGGATTTGGAAATGATAGGAATATGAGTTTTGAAGGTGGGTTAAATGATCTCTTGCGAAGACGCTGTATGGATGAGAAGGCTGCAGTGAGAAAGGCAGCTCTTGTTCTGGTATCCAAGTTGACCGCTCTTTTATGCGGTGAACTTGACGAAGAACTACTAAAAACAGTTGGCATGGACTGTTCCGATCCACTTGTTAGCATTAGGAAAGCGGCAATCACTGCTCTATCTGAGGTAACGTAACCTATCTATTGTAATTATTGTTCCCTTTTTAGGCTGGATTTTGGAGTAAAACTACTTGTAATTAATTTATGATAAATGGAATATGTGTGGAGTAGAATTTCAATGCAATTATCTTATCTCAATTGTATTTAGTGTAATACAGCATGTTTGAGGTCTGCCGACAGCTAGAATGACCTTGGCGTGCATAAGTGGGCGAGTATGTTTGTTGAAGAATATTATGTCAATCCTCCAGAACATATTTTTCTCTCTTTTGTCATTTACTTGCTTTTAAAGTTTGAGAACATTTCATGATATCTGCAGCTAAATTTCCACTATTCTCCTTTTATACTGGCGTGCTAAACTGCTAATTCCTTACCGGTTTTCCTTTTGTTTATTCTACGTGGAAAAGATAATCACCATGCTTCCATAGATCTTTCTTGAGTATTTTTTTGAACTCGTAGGCTTTCAGGATACACTCGACTCATACCGTGACCAAGGAGTGGCTACATTCTGTTCTGCGTTTGATAACTGATAATGAAACTAGCATCCAAGAAGAATGTGAGAATCTATTTCTAGAACTGGTTCTTGATCGGGTGTCAAATGCTGGATCAACAAGTTCGTCATGTAATGACTCCTTTCATCATGAATTAAATGACAAGAAAAATAGCTTGGATATGAAAATTGAGCTGTTATATCCTGAGGGAGTTCTAGGACTATTGAAAGAGATTTGTAACGGAGAGGTGGCATCTTGGGTAAAGAAAATTTGCACAAGCCTGGGCAAAAAGAAAAGACTCAGGTCAAATGTTGTTATTTCTCTTCAAAATATCATAAAGACATCAGAATCCCTTTGGTTGAACCACTCCAAGCAGATACAGAAGTGGACGGCACCTCCTGGTGCCTGGTTTTTATTATCAGAAGTGTCAGCATTTCTTCCAAAAGCAGTGGACTGGGAGTTCCTCCATCATCATTGGCAGCTCCTTGACAAGTATAAACCTGTTCATGAACTCAAAAGCCCACTTGAGCAAGATGTGAATGAAGGGATGGTGGACATAGAATCTAATTCTCTTGCTTGGGCAGGAGATCGCGTCTTTCTCTTGCAAACAATCTCTAACGTCTCTGTAGAACTACCTCCTGAACCTGCTGCAGACCTAGCACATAACTTTCTCAAACGGCTTGAGGAGTTCAACATGCACTCAACCGAGGTATATATCTGTCGAGTTTGTTGTTGTTGTTACTAATCTTTTTGTTGTGCCTCACTCTTGCAACTGATGTGGCTTCATTAAGGTGAATTGCAGGTGAAAATAGTTTGCAGAATGCTTCAATTAAGTGTTTAAGCCCATGTTTGGCACCCATTCTCTCTCTCATTCTCATTCTCTTTTTTCATTTCAACCACACAATCTCCAAATAAAATAATATTACACACAAATCTAAAACTTTTCATCACTTTTCCACCACACATTCTCCCACCAATCACTATTCCAAAATTTTTCAACCCTTTAAAATGAGTGTCAAACACTCCCTAAATTTTGACAACCTAGGTGCTAGAGAAAATGATCATCTGCTGTAAGAAGATATTTTTTATATATTTCCTGAGTAAATTTCTAGACTTACATATTAAAAAAAAAATGTAGTCAATGCTTCTGTTCAATTTCCTCAGGTTTCTGTGCTATGTACACTGGGAAAATGCTTTGTACAGCAGTACTATTTATAGCTATACATCTCATTCTTCTGTAATTATTAGACAATTTTATTTTTGATGTCCTGAATTTCGGTCTTAGTGGTCTGATATTACAATTACTGCAATTGTTGTGAGAAGAAGCTAAATGATCCATATTTCCACAAACAATTTCACAAAAGGTTTTGTTCTTAAATAGGGTCATGTGTGTCACTAGTGATGGGTTATATTGCAGATTTAGCTCAACTTTGATAGAGAAAAGGAAATTTTTAGCATGTGATTATCCATTACTTTGGGTATCCAGGACTGAATTGCTAAATAGCTTCATGTAATGCATGGGCACTAAAGATCTGCGTCTGAGGCATCTGTTGTTTTTAGAAAACACTAAAGTCGCAATTACTATAGCTTTGTGAATGAGAATAAGATGGTGATTGTGGCAGGTTAACGCACATGTAAAGGCACTCAAAACACTGTGCAAACGGAAGGCTTTGCATTCTGAGGAAGCTGATTCTCTTGTTATAAAATGGGTTCACCAGCTTCTTTCTAAAGCTTCCCAAGTTTTAGATATGCACCTGTCAGAAATTGCTGATGCAAATAAAGACAGTGCTTTACTTACTCCAAAGACTCTTGCAATTGAGAAAGGAACAAGAGAAGCTGCAACCTCATCCACATTAGAATCACGGTCCATTACTGCTGTATTTACCATTGGCTCATTAGTTGTTATCTGTCCTTCTGCCGATTTAAAAGCTATTATTCCAGTATTATACACCATCATCACTTCTGGGAGTTCAGACCGAAAATCTAATAGATTACATAGGGCTGCGCTTTCTTTAAAGCAGACTGCCCCTTCCTTGTACATTCAAGCCTGGCTAACCATGGGCAAGATCTGCCTTGCTGATGGGAAACTTGCAAAGCGATATCTTCCCCTATTTGTGCAGGTATGGTTTCAACTCAGACTTCCTTCTTGTTCTATCGTAACAACTTTCTGCAACCCCAAATCTGCTAAGTAGATGAAATAAATATGAGTTTATGAAGGTAATGTATTGTGATCACTCCAGCGAGGTTTTCCAAAAACCAATGTGCAGAATCTTCTTTTCTTATATGTTTTAACTTTCAAGTTTTTGTTATAACTTAAGTTTTGCAGCATTTCCAATAATTTTTTCCTTTCAATCCGTTTTATTCCATAAAGCAGTGTTAATATCAGTGTAAAAGTGCTCTTTTCTCCCTCAAGTCACATTAGCATTTGCAACCGATTATTGTAGTTGATTCTTATAATCTAACTTAGGTGGATAATTCTTTCCCAGGAGCTTGAAAAAAGTGATTGTGCTGCACTACGCAACAATATAGTTGTAATAATGGCAGATTTTTGTGTGCGTTATACTGCTTTGGTTGACTGGTGAGTCCCTCGTACATGTGTACTATCTGTATTTATAGAACTTGAGAAAATTCTTCAATATTCTCAATATTTAACTTTTAAGCCAACAGTTATATGTTGAAGATCACCAAGTGTCTGCGTGATACATGTGAACTAGTGCGAAGGCAGACATTTATACTACTGTCCAGACTATTACAGGTAATTTTTGTCATATTACAGTTTTCTCTTCATTTTCCATTACTGAAGATCTATTACAAGGCAATTGTCTTATTAAACTTTGATTCTTTTATTCAGAGGGACTATGTGAAGTGGAGAGGAGTACTTTTTCTTCGATTTCTGTTGTGTCTTATTGATGATTCAGAGAAAATTAGGCAACTAGCTGATTTCCTCTTTGGGAATATCTTAAAAGGTTACAATTTCATTTAAAACGTTTGGATTTGTACTGTAAACATATTGTTGAGATTTGACATTTGTTCAATGTTTTTACAGCCAAGGCACCACTTTTAGCTTACAATAGCTTTGTGGAAGCCATATTCGTTTTAAATGACTGTAATGCCCATACTGGACGTAGTAATGCTCAAAGTTTGCAAAATGAAACCCGTCCTTTTTCTATTCGGTATGCATGTTTTAGTCGTGGCTGGTTACACATGGGATTGGACATATAATGAGTAAATCATAGTTCTTTTTCCCAGAGGTAATGATGAGAATTCAAGGTCTAAAAGGATGCACATCTACACCACTTTGCTGAAACAAATGGCTCCAGAGCACCTTCTGGCTACCTTTGCAAAAGTATGTGCTGAGATTCTTGCAGCCGCATCTGATGGTATGCTCTGTCTAGAGGATGTTACTGGGCAGTCGGTCCTACAGGTAATAATTCTTTTATACCCATTTATATCTCTCCACTTCTTTTGGAGAAGTGACATTTGCACCTTGGTGTTGCATTTTCATTCTAGAATTTCAGTTTGTTGTTCAACATGTTTTGTTACAAAATCTCCAAGGCAGAGTTGCAAGCACCATTTTGCAGCAGTTTTTTTTGCTAGTAGTAAATGACTACAATGGCTAGTGGTTGCTTATATGGTGTATTTCCAATTGTAGTTAAGCTTCTTTACACATTTCCCTTTTTTTTTTGGCCTGTTGGGTGTCTTTTTATAGCAATCCTTTTTTTTCGAACGAGGTCATGGTGTTTGTATCTAGTGCCTCTAAGAAGAACTAAGATTATCCACTGTGGTGTATAATGCAGAATGCCTTGGATTAGTCAAGCATGTATGCATAAGCCTAAAAAAGTGAAGTTACTTTTAAGTAATTTTTTGTCTACGATAACTCACTATTTTTTTAAAGTAATTCTTGTGTCGAAGTTTTTTTTTTCAACTTTCATTGATAAAAAAATTATTTATTATAAAACAAACTTATTTACTTGGGATTTTGAAACTTAGCCAAACATGCTTTTAGCGTTGCATGCCTTTAATTTTTTTCCCTAAGATCTTTAGCATTAATCGTCTTTGTAAACTTGCACTAATAAGCTGAGAAACCAGGATGCTTTCGTCATTCTTTCCAGCAAAGAGATCAAAATTCAATCCAACCGAGGATCTTCATTTGAGGCAGCAGATGTAGAAGAAGATGGTGGAGACAGTGGAGGGGCACTAGCTAAAGGAAGAGCCATAACTCAAGCTGTGAGAAAAAGCCTTATCCAAAATACTATCCCCATCTTCATCGAGTTGAAACGGCTACTCGAGAGCAAAAATAGCCCTCTTATTGGTTCCCTAATGGAATGCCTAAGGATTCTTCTCAAGGACTACAAAAATGAAATTGACGATCTACTAGTTGCTGATCGGCAGCTTCAGAAAGAACTCGTATACGACATGCAAAAATACGAATCAACGAAGGCGAGGTCAACTGCAGCTAATGCTGTTGCCACTATGCAAAGATCAGAGGCATATAATTCTCCTGCTGATCGTAAGGTGCGAAATTCAAGTGCCCTCAAAAGTAAATTGCCTGAAACGCTTAAAAGCGACACAAAAGTGGCTTCAGCGGTGGCGGATGCACTGGCAGCAGCCACAGCACGATCTGTGCTAAGGGAAGTAAATAATGGTGTATCAACGCCTCCTCTCAGTGCAATGGGCGTGCCGAAACTCAAATCTTGCATGAGGGAAACAGCTAGTCGAGGAGACCGGCCTGCCAATGTGATAGAATCTCTGCGGAGGAGACAATCTTTTGACTCCGATGATGAAAACTGATAACTCGTCTTAATGCAGTTTCCAGATGATGCAGGTAGGACAGGATTTCATGCTTGTACAGAAACTCTTTTGTGGGAAGTTTATTCTGTCTTACAATGTTGTATACTTATGTTTCCAGCGAGGAAACATTGTTGTGCACTAATTTGAAGTGTAATAGGAAACCATGACGAGTTTCAGATAATGACATTGGACAAAGTTTCATGGTTTTCTCAAATTATAAGTAGGTTATGAAAGCCCCCTTCTGTAAAATTTGATCAGCACTACTACATTCCAATCCTTCATGGATATTTATGATTCGTTTGATATGACTTTTGTTTTTATTTTTTGTATAAGAGCTTTTGATGAAGTTACCTTATGTCAGTTTATTTTAAGTAGACAATGTTTTTAAAAAATTATCTAAACATATTTAAAAATAATTTTTTGCTCAAGAAGAAGGCATTAGCATTAGAAAGACTACAGAGGCACTCCGGGCGGACTAATAGTTTTTGGCTTCAAATGCCATGCCAAAAGGTCTTTGAATACCTAGCGTGGAATTCATGTGATTGATTTTACTNGGACTTTTCTCGCTTGTTTAGTATTGCTTTGGCTTCGCCCTATCTTGCTGGCGCGTAAGCTACCACAACTAAAAGAAAGAAAATAAATGAAGGAAGAAGGCATTAGCATTAGAAAGACTACAGAGGCACTCCGGGCAGACTAATAGTTTTTGGCTTCAAATGCCATGCCAAAAGGTCTCTGAATACCTAGCGTGGAATTCATGTGATTGATTTTACTTTTATTTACGTGTTAGTTGTTTTAGAGCCTATTTGACAACCATTATAGCAAAAAAAAGTGTTTTGAATAGTGATTTTTAGGAACACGTGTGTAAAATATTTTATTGTGTGAATGTGTGGTCGAAAATGATTCCGTAGCAAACTATAAAAATAAAGTAATGAATGTCAAACAAACAATTAATTACATGGTGGTAATTCTAGTGAATTTGGGTTGACTATATTGATTGTAATTAGGCTCCTGTTTGACAATCATTATTTGAAAATTTTCTTTTCTATATACTCATTTCAATTATACGAATCAAAAAGTGACCAAAAAAAAAAAGTGACAACCACTCAAAAAGTGACATAAACACAAAAAAAATGACACAAACTAAAAAAAAAAAAAGACAAATATCAAAATAGCACCATCCATTTGTGCAACACCAGCAATCGTGTTCTTAAAATAATCAGCACGTTTAGGACAATCCACATACTGATTATGTTAGAAAAATATAGCATATTATTTCACTTTTTTATCTTCTTAAAAAGTGAAAAAAAAAAACTTAAAAAGTGACCAAAAACTAAAAAAATTGACAAAATCTAAAAAATTGACAAAATGTCACTTTTATAAAATTGACGAGTCACTTGACATCTCTAGATGGTACTGCATAAAATTAAGTGACACAATCTTTTTGTTAGTAAAAAAAGTTACCAATAAACCAAAAAAGTAATAGAAAAAATGAAACACTATAAAAAGTGACCGAAACTCAAAAAAGGTGGCAGGATTTAAAAAAAAAAAGTGACAAACATTAAAAAACATTGCCTTTGTCTAGACATGCTTGAAAAGGCAATTAAAACTGCATAGATGAAAAAAATCCACAAGTCAAATATTTTGTATGGC